AATATTTTGAAAATAAGCTGTAATACAGGAAAATACAGGAATTTTTGGCAATTTTCTTACATTTATACAGGATTTTCAAAATATTATTTGGCAATCCTACATATAATATAATATAATATGTCATGTAAATATTATTTAAATTATATGTCATGTAAAATATTAATAATTTTGTAATAAATGTAAAAATATAAAGTATGTTTAAAAATGGAAATAAAATTATAATTAACTATCATTAACTCTGATTATTTCTTAAAAATAATTTAGTGCTAACACTTATAACAAACAATATTATTTTTAACACTTATATTTTCTTAAATAAGGACAAAGACATTGGTATATAGGGTTTACATGTTGTACTGGCCAAATTGAACAAGTGACAATTTCACTAAATAAAGAATAAAAAGGTTATTAATAATAACTTATTATAGTATAAATGTAGTGTATGACACGAGGTCTCTATTTTTGACCTCAAAATGTCTTAAACATAATTTACATTTTAAAGCATAAATAAAGTAAGTGTTTAGAAATCAATATGTCAAAATGTTTACAAGTAACTTGTTAGGGCAAAAAGTACATTTTCAATTTTATGATATCTAATTTTAAAGTACTTATTTTTGAAAATTTTTTATTTTTATACAATTTCCTATGGGAATTATATAATAGTATAAAATTTTTGTAATAAAACAACATCTAAGTACACAAATGTCAAAAGGGTTAACAAAATTTTAAAATAGCTAAAATATTCGTCCCGTGAATACATAAATATTTTAATAAAAATTCTAAAAGTGCCTGGGTCAAAAATGGCAAACCCCTTTGGAATGGAATCACGTTGACGTTTGTAATACAGACTCTGTTCGACACATTTATTCGTTTAATATGATTACATTTTCTAAATATTTGCCGAATAAAAGTGATCACTACTCCCAATCATGACCTCTAATCATGTAGTATCATGAGTCATGACCATATTAAATGGTCACCATGCCACAATGGCCCAGCGATGTCCTTAACCTTTGAATATAATTATTATTAACTTTTGCACATAACTGCTGTTACAGTGCTGTTAATAATGTTACATTTAGTTTTTTAATTAATATTCATAGATTTTTCAACAAAAAAGATAAATTTTATATGAAAAATAACTTATATATGCATTCTAGAAGTATTTACTCATCATATAGAATTTTAACATGCGCATAATAATATAATTGTGATAGGTTAAATATTAACATACAGTATTTTTATTTTATAAACACTATTTAAATATAATATATTAATTAAAAATTATCTAAAATTATTTTAACATGTTTTAGTGTGAAATAATGAGAATATAATTTACTCCTTTAAGGAGAATAAGGATAATAAGATTTTTAGTATAATTTTAGAGCAAATCTTAAAACATTTCTAAAAAAGTTCAAATTTTGTAGTTTATAATAATTTGAAGGATTTAAAGTTTGAGTTCAAGCGTTTAATCCTTCAATTATAGGATAAGTACTTTGTTTTCTAAAACTAAACTATATTTGAAATGTTTTGAGTTATAGTTAGACCAATATCTATGACAACCGAATGCTAAACTTTAAATGAATGCTTCATATAATCGAAATGTCTTTCATTCATTCGCTAATCATTTTTGTGACACAATATTATTTAAGATTTTTTATTATTTGCCAAATATTTCTTTTAATATTTAAAGGTAAAAATTAACATAAAGATGATTTACTTGAATAAATAATAATAATATAGATTCATCGATAGGCTGGTCGTTGCCATACAGGAGCGCTATATTCTGGGCAGAGGTGTTGCTATATGTGGTTATAATAGGACTACAATTGTGTGCATTCCTGTTATCGCGAATGGATTCTGCGATTTTGACTCCAATTCTATTGATTCCCAGTATTATTGGTTTAATTTATTTCATTATTTGGCAACAATTTGTATTACGAATTGATATAATCATTAATTCAATTCTTCTCTTTTTTCAATCACTTTATATAATCACAAGTTTTGTTAAATAACTTTTGAACAGATTTACTAATTATATAAAGCATTTGAAATCATATTTATATTACACTCATATGTAATAATTTGCTTTGAAATAAGACAAATAAATTGCATTTTAAATGACAAAAAGATTTATTTCTTTATTTGTATTAAAAGAAACGATTTAAGAGTAATATTCATAATATTAATATAATATAATAGTTTTAATTGTATTTTATTTAATCTAGGATTAAAATAACAATAGTTTTACTTTTAATATAATTATTATTGTTTAATTTTATTTTGTATATATATTTCAATATAAAATAAGGACATTATTTAACATAAATTTTGGTAAAATGTGATCAAAATTACAAGAGCTGTGAACAAGTGTTGAGTCAACTTATCGTTTGCTTTGGAATTCATTTGCGCACAAAAACAGCTAATTTTTAAAACACTCTTTTGTTTTATATTTGAAATCACTTTCAATACAATTAATTGAGAGTTTAATTATGTTTTTATCATTTTATAAGCATTTATATTGACAGTTGTTTTGAGCAAATTATAAGTCAATCAAAATTCATAACTAATCGGCATTCGGATAATTAATGGGCTGTTCATCACGTGTTGGCACCGATTGCTCGACCAAAGGTCCGGGAAGTGCCGGCGCGGGAGCAACACCTCCAACACCAATACCGGGACCTCCGCGCCACCGCCGCCAACACCGCCACCGATAGCACCGTTCGCTTCATTCAACACCATTTCGCTGACATTCTGTTCAATACTCTCGACCCCATCGACCGATAAATTGGTGATCGATTTGGATCTCACGCACTGAAAGTCCACGTGTCGTGACTTCGCCTCTTCCTTCTCCCACGACATGCGAATGAAAGGCCTCTGAACGTAGTTATAGATCACTTCCGGACGACGATCTCCCGGTCGGCGCCGGATCTTCTCCTTATGGGTTGGAAATCCTGGACAACAAAACATTCGTTACGTCTTTTAAACACAACCTCTCGACACAAGAGGTACGCAATATATGGATCATTAGTATTACAATAAAGTTTACAAAATATATATGATATGAGTGTTGTTACCTTCGATTCCGAGTCTAATCTTCTTTAATCCCCTTTCTTTGAGTACTTGTTTAGAAACGTCACGATTTTCGATATACTTGAAGAACCGGTACATCGAAGTCGAGTAAATGACTGTTTCGGACAAAACAATACCATATATTGAGTCCAATATAAACTACAATACAGTCGTCTCAACCAATCTCAAGACCAATGGTAGCCTCTATTGGCACAACATTTTCTCGCATCACTTACTTTGAGAGTACTCTTCACCGGTTTGTGGCGGATATTCTTCGTCCCAATCGACCACATCGTCGTTCAGCAGAATAACGATATGACTCTCTCTATCGCCGCGCTTTCAATACAAACAAAACCAATTCATTTCATTTCAATACATAAAATCACGTAATCTATAGAAGACTTGAAATTCAATTTTCACTACTATTCTCAACAAAGAATAACTTTTCTTCAAAAGTATTTACTTTTCTAATCAATTCTTTCAACAATTTTATACTATTTTTTGCTTTTGTTTTGTTTTGTTATAAACATAAGAGAAGAGCAGATAATATCAAAAGTCAAGACAAAACTCAAAGACAATTGTATAGAGAAATAGTGATAATTGGAGTCATACTTGTGCTGAGACAACCATTTCGGGTAAAATGCGTTCTTCGAGGAACTTCTCGAACTGACTTCTGGCGCCTTCATTACTCAACTCGTGGAGTAGTCCTCCTGTGAGGGGTAGACAAGTGTCCAACAATTGGGACAAACATACAGTATATCAGTATATCATATGTGTTACACATTAAACACAAAACTCACTTAAATTATGGCATTTAATAGTGGAGGCGTCGAAAGGGATGAGAAAGTAATCGCACGCCTCCCGGAGCTCAGGCACTGTCACACTGGGGGGACATTTGATGATTCCTGTCTTGAAATACTCCTACATTCAGAAGACAATAGTGTGTCAGACATGATAGGCATGTATGGCATGAATGATATGACACTCACAAGAATGGCCTTAAAAACTGTGGCCGAAAAGCCCTCGAACTCGAACTCTCCCTTAGGGTTGGCTTTGGTCAGCGATGCCGACGAGTGAAACATACTGTAAAGCATTGTATCCTTTTTGGTGGCAAACAGTTCTCGCGATACTATAAATCGCGTGTTTTCCACGACTAATGTTATCCTATCACACATTGAAGACACCGAAGACATTGATCCACTCATTGCGGACATTACGCCACTCCCGCCACGGCCTCCAACACCGCTCTCCGGTAATACCATTCCTCCGGATCTCTCTCTTGCAATACGACCGACAATTCAATGACAACCAAACGATCGCTTAATTAGTATTGTTTACGAATTACTCATTCATTCATTCAATTAATTTGATTCACTTTTTTGAGTGAAATCTATGTTTTGAATCAATTGTAGGTCTGATTGGATTCACTGTCCGATCACTTCATTATCTCATAATCACTTCAAACCACAAATCAATGCAAAACACATCCAATGATTGTTATCATTATTATTGACATTCATTTCAATCACTAATCAAAACATAACAATAATTAAATCCATATTTATTTCGTTCACAAACAACGTTACCATTCGTTCATTGAGTTCAATGAAAACTGGTTTTGAATGAAATGAATGCAAACGTGAACTCAATTTAACTCAACTTTTGCTGCAATTGAACCCCAATTTTGAACTCAATTTAATGGCTATTTGTTTATACGAATGAATTAAAGTCCATATTATTAGGTCTTTGACACTATCGAGACTTTTCAATAGGAATTAATTAAACTTTTTTTTAATATACATTACATTCATGAATGCATTGAATTTAATTTATAAAAAGATCATTTTTGGAAACTTATATCAATTATACAAATAAGCTTATAATAGAAAAACAACATGGTTACATTAAAATATTAATGAATGTGTGTTACCTTAAAAGGCCCTTGCCACAATTGCCATTTGAATAGTTGAAATTCTTAAGTTTTTCATGCGATATAGAGATGATATGCTTTATATGTTTTATATGCTCTATAACTGTAATAATTAGGGTAATATTGGATACAAATTATAGCTCTTTTTATATTAATGATAACTTTTAAAATGAATTAATGAATTGTGTGTCAATCCAATCCAATTGTTGCATTTTTCGTCATTGATTAGTCCATTTGAATGATACTAACATTTATGATAAAATAGTTGCGTTACTATAATGTGTATTGAGATATAGTTATGTGAATAACGGGATAATTATAGCGATAAGCGAAGAGCACATACAGTATGGTTGGGATGCGATTGGACTGCAATTAAATGAGAATATGATATAAAAGTTTGGTATTTGTGGTCGAAATTTATGTGAAATCGGAGTTTGTGTTGGTTTTGGTTGCGAAGAGTGGAGAGAGAGAGAGAGAGAGAGTGAGAGTCTGGTTGTGGAGAGAAGTAGTGATGAGTTGTTTGCACTCAACAGTAGTTGTGATGGCATTGCCTTACAGTTAGAGTGAAGTGAAGTTATGCCTGAAAGCAGTGTTTAGTGCAACGCTTGCTGTCATTGCGGGACAGACCCAACGGGACAGCACTGGAAGTGGTCAGAGCGGACATTAATGCCGGACAACGACCGCCCGCACCACCACTGGCCGCACAATTGCCTCATAAGGGCTCTAGAGTTGGCTCCGGACACAGGAGTGCAACACACAGTCAGCCCTCTTATAGCAGACGCTGGAGCGGAGGCGCCCGTCAGTCACGTGACCACAACTTCGGGTGTCGATCGCCGCCAACACTGGACTCACAGCCCCTGTCGGCCACAGACCAGACGTATTGCGGCTCAAAGCGATCGCTGAAGACATCGCACTCCGGCGGACATACGCCCGGTTCGAGCAGCGGTTCCCACAGAAGTAGTGGCGCGTCGTTATTGTGCCGCTGCGGCAGTGGTGGAGCACTTCTGGCGCCCGCGACCACCGCTCCCAACAATCCGTGGGACTACAGCCGCGGCGCTCAGTCCCTGCCGTCCACTCCCAACGCATGCCGTCGGCCGCCATCCATGGGCTCCGACGGATCCACTGCTGGTATGATTGGTGTGGCCTTCGCTGACGAGCCGTGTTATGCGGTGTACGGGACGGCCCACTCCAACACCGGATCAGACATGGGATGTGGTGTTATGAGTGAGAGTGCGGTTCTGAACAGTGCGGCCTCGGAGGACGGCGGCCACCGTTCGGCACCGATCCGTACTTTGCATCACTGGAACCAACAAACACGCAATCTTAGATATCGGGCCACTTCTCAGCCTTTGATGAAACTCTCGACACTAGTTATAGTGCTTCTCGCGTTCCTCATCATCGGTTTCATCGTCTTATCGCCACTTTTCCATTACCTCATGTCTTAACTCATTCATGTGTTTCACAAACTTGGCATTCAATGGACGCATATCTCAGGTCTGCTTTACTTTTGCCAAATTGTCTCTCAAACGATCGTTTTTTGTTAAACCCTAACAATTGTGATATAATGCTTGTGTTGTGCTGTACTGAATAGCAATACAGTGTAGTTATTCTGAGAGCCTCTCAACTATCAATAGTTCCCAACTATACTATAGTTCGTTATTCTGTATAGCAATTGACTGTTTTGTTAATTACATTACAATAGTTATAACAATTATACGATAAAATTGATAAAAATCTGTTATATACTGCATAACATTTATTATAGATTATTAAAATCAACAAATTGATAAAAATATAGTGTATATATACTGTACGCACTCATACAATCATTTATTTACATTAACCGTTTTTGATATAATAAATTACAATTCTGTATGTTTGAAATTTTAATCCGATTATATTTATATGCGTTTTGTGTCAGCATTTGGTGTAAATATGGTGTTTCTTATAACCGGGATTTTCTTATTGATTATTCTGTTATAAGTTATAACGGAATCGTTTCCATATCCATAGGAACAGTTCAGTGCTTTAAATATGTATTGCTTATACATTACAGTAATCCTTATAAGTTATAATTCAATTACTCCTAATTACTGCAAATACTGTGCATTACTTATTAGAATAATGTAAAATAATATACATTAACTCATAGTATAAACATTATATATTATTGAAACAGAAGAAATTTAAGCATACATTTTAAAAGTAAACAATTCTTGATAAATTTAGCACATAACATAAGTTAGTGCAAATTATTACTCTATGATTATTTAAGATTTTATGCATAATATTTATTTAATGAGTCTAAAAGCTTATAATATAACATTTTATGTTAAACGAACTATAAATGCATTGATTTAATTAAATCTAAAATAATTAATTACTTAAAATAACAAAAAATAAATATAATCACATGAAGTGGTAAAACAATTAAATAAATACTAACATTCAATATTTGCAGAGAAAATGTTTGATATGTCACTAATGAATGGTTTCGGAAACTAAACCATGCATTTTAATGCTCATTGAATATAGTATTGCTTTTTAAACGATTATAAAGTTTCCAATATTTGTATTCACTTCTATTGTGTAACCATTTTCTCATTTGTTACCAATTATGCGCTCAAATAGTAAACTGATTACAAAACAAAATCTCTGTTTTAGATTTAAATTGATTTATTTGATTTTGCATAATGTTGTTATTTATAGGACTTGATTTTGAGTAAATGAACATGCTTATTTCATTATTTATAAGTTCAACATAAATCCAATTTATTTTATTAAATTAAAGTATATGTTTGGTTATGGTTTCGAAAAGTGAATGATATTATAAACATGATCATTTTATAGATAACAAAATTGTTTTCAAATTTATATCATAATAAACGATAGTAGTATACTTTGGTACAGAATATTTCACTGTAATATGAATTTGTCAATAAAATTAACTTAAAGAATAATACGATAATATCAAAGACTATTGTAAGCATTTAGTGAACTGCCTTTTAAATCAGAGTTTTGATAAATGTTACAAATATTTTGTTGTTTTCTGTAGTTATAGTTTAAATATGTGGTAGAATATCAATACTTATCGTATAGAGTATACGTTACATGTATTGAATGTTCATGAAATTCATGAGTCTGGAAATGAACCTCAAACTAAGTTTATCGGACCTCAAATAATCAGATATTTTATGGCATTGTTTTGATTTAATTTTTCTCAAATATAGCTTACTATTGAAAAACATTGAACTGAAAAATCTATTAACTCTACTCTGAAAAACTTTATTAAAAGAGAATTCTTTTAAAAATATTGTTATCGTGTTTTACTATACAATACTACTCTATATATACAGAGTATATATAAAGTGTATATATTTTATAAGAATAAGGCAACAATACTCTTACAACTAGTGTTGTAAATGTGGCAAAGTTTAGATATTACACACAGAAATTACCACGTTTTATGTTTAAGGGCTGATTTGAGCTATGATTTGAGTAAATTTAATAATAAACGTTTATTTATTTAATCAATTTAATTGATATTATTGTAAGAATTTTTGAATTTAAGGAATGAATTATTGAATTATATCTATTAAATGGGATTTTTGATTTTAATATTTGTTTTAAACTAAAAATTTTCTGATAATAGTAAAGAATTTTACAGAATTTTCATCACTAGCGACAACACACTGTTAACAGAGGCAAAGCTAACGCCGTGTATTACAATACTATGCTCTCTATCTATCGCTACTTTACTTTACAGAACACTACTGTATATCTGCTTTCTATTAACATTCTTTGCTTTAAGATTTCTTTATAAGAGTTATTACTTCGAACCCATAGACAGTGTTTATAATATTTATTCTGTGTTGTCGTCACTGAATCTATCAATTATTCTCTATATTCTATACATTATATGATATCTCTTATGTGACTATAAATAAGTAAAATCATTACAAACCACTCAAACCATACGATCGACTAATGCCTTCACTCATTTCAAAACTCTCAACACTCCTCTTATATTACATTTATAGCCAATTATTTATTATTATTAGCAAATGATATAAATAATGATAATTAGTATTTTTGAGACACAATACTTGCAAGAATATTGTCAGCAGAATATAAGTGACACCTTATCTCTTTTAGCGATACGTAGCCTAAGTGTCCGCATATATCCTCACAAACTCTCTATACAATTGTTTTTCCATCGAAAAGTAATATTGAGATAATGATGAATCAAATGGAATTGAATACTTGCTTATAGAGCACCTGGTGCTCAGTGTTGACCACTTCTACTTTATATATACACTACACATACAATACAGCATAATATAGATATAAAGTTATATATAAATTCTCTTATCTTTTACATTATTTTCTCTTTTGCTTTGAGTTATTTGAGAATTGAAAGGAATTACTTTCTTTTAATTTGTAAATTTATTGATTTGTGTGAATAAGAATATTCTTAGATTTCTTTTTGCAATTCTTATGGTAATTTTATTTTTATACCAATTTTGATCCATACAAACACTCATGCAGTGTGTTATGTGTTGTTTGATTTTTATGTTCCTATTTATTGTTATTCTTAGTAAACACTTTGAAAGTATATATTATGGAGAAATGGGAA